ATATATAAACGGCGTGAAGGGGTCACCAAAACTCAAAAAGTTGAATAGTCCAGATTCGAAACCGGACATAAACATGCGTGCTGAAAACAAATAATCTGAAGCACCACTTAATTGCAGTATCAGGCGCAAAACTTAAAATATTCGGTAGGTGGAGTCACATAATAAGAAAATTAAAAATCTAAGTGTATTTTATGCAAGGCCATACAAAGCATGTAAACTTTGACCTGTGAAATAAAAGTATCCGGCGTTTGACGGGAAATACCCTTAAATGTACCAAGAATCTTAGATGGAAGGAAGGTATTTGAGGTTTTAGTAGATTGCTTTATGGCTTTTCTCTGATAAAGTATATTAGTAGAACTAAAACGTGAATATACGATGACGACACAATTCAATAGCTACATTAATGGCATCGGTTATGGCGTTTATAATAATCCAATCAATTAATATATTTGTCATTGCGATATTGGAGCACTTCATGGTAGATAAATTAGAATAATTAGGTTACAAAATATTTTTTCCCCGATGAAGTCCCAAAGCGCGCAATGGCAGTAATTATTATTATTATAATCGATATGAACTAGCCATTAACCCTTGAGCAATGAAAAGGTCTTAACCTACCGAAATGTGAGATCGCCTATAATATTTTCAACAAACAAAGCAAAATGAAGTGATTAATTAATTTACGGGAATATTTTTACCCGGCATAATTAGCAGAAATCGCTACGGGTTGGACTTTTTGGTAACGGCTCATTACGTGAAATGATCAATCTAACATAATTTTGATAGAAAAGGAAGAGGAAGCTACTATACTGTATGTGGAGTTACACCTTTTCTCCACGCAATAGGCATATTTCTTTTTTAACACGCTACAAGAGTGCAAAAAGCAACACATGTTCTCCGCGCTGCAACTGTGTTTCTTTTCCCATCTGAGACACTAGATCTAGGTCACAAGACGATAGGGCGTTTCGTATTATTTTCGATAAGAGATCTCGGTGCTAAATAAGCCTTTGGTTTGCGCCTTGTTCAAAAGTGAGACCAGTGTCTAACGAGTGCTCGTGCTGCCAATCTTCCTATGCCGATTTTTTTTGCATCCTTCTTCTTCCATAGTCCGAACATAAAGTTTAACGTAGAAACCAGTTTCATATACAAAGACGAACTTTTGTAATAATAATATGCGTGTCATCTTAAGCTTGCTCAGGGCAGCAGCTCGAGGAGTAAAACAGTGGAACTTAATTGTCTATCATGCTGGCCACTTTGCGGCTTTATCGGCCTGTGAATTTAATCTGAAAGCTATACTGCTAAAAAGGCCGTTTCATTTGGCATTGCAGGAGTCATTTATTGCGTTCTTATCTAACATTGTCGAAACAGTATTTGCAAATGACCAGTTTTTTACAGATGAAAGTCTATGGTTAAGCACAGCTTTATTCCTATGTTCGCAGCAAGCTCACGGCTGAAGTTGCAGAAATAACCGATATACTTTAACTGTTAGCCTGAAAGCAGTAACGCGTCAAAGCCAACAAGACATCCTTTTTGTTTAAACTTCATCACTTTATGATATTAGCCCATTTCCCATGAATCAAGTTATTTTAACATCATACATATTTTTATATTTTATTTGTTGCAGACGACGTTTTGATAACCCTAGTTCCCCTTAGCCTCATGCTAAGACTTTATTTCTTAATACACAACGATATGTGAGCATTTCGAAAGCTCTGGTACTGTAGGCATGCATCTTTTGTCTTCTAGTAGTAACTTTTTACAGTTATCGTACCGTGTGTCCCTATGAATAATAGTAATATCGATCTTTTTGATTGTTTTGTTGGAGGAATATCTTGGAAAATTATCAAAACTTGTCACGATGGCCGATCCTTTAGCTAAAGCAAGAAATGTGCTGATTGTAGCTATTACGATAGAAAGATCAATTATGCTCTTCAAAAAACAGCCCTTGCTTGAAAGTAGCCTGAAATCTAGATCCGGAAGGAAGCCCCTTCGGCAGCCATTTAGGTGTTCTTAAATAAATAAACAGAATGTTGCTAATTTAAGAAGTCCTAACAGCAAAGGGCTTTCCTGATCGCTACCGAGCAAAATCTACTTGTCTTACTTAATCACGTTTGAAGACTCCTGGCTTCATACAGAATTTGTCTACCTGTTATGTAGAATGCCGCTACACAATGAATAACTTCGACAAAAATTCAGCTATCGTAGGTAAAAGCGTACCGAAAAGTTTAAAGACATGTACAACAAGAAAGTAAGCTGGATAGACGCAGTTTTTCTCAAAACAAGGACATCAAGCAATTGTGCCTGAAAATGTAATAAACTAGTCAAGCATCGTGGCATTAGACGATATGCGGACCATTTGTTCCATTACGTTCTGCCAGGCGCATAATTACTACGATCTACGCAATTGTTGTTGCTGACACAATATAAAGGCCACTTATCAGATGTCATGCGACATGCCTATAATAGCTTCTTTTATCGAATTAGTCCGTCCTTAATTGAAATTTGTATGCTACTTGTGGTGCTGTTTTATTATAGCGTATTTTCTAGCTGTTTTTTTTTTAAAAAAGCCGTTTAAAAAAAGCGTTTTTTAAAATAATTTTTTTTTACACAATAATTTAAAAAATACAAAAACATTAAAAAATGACATCAAAAATATATTTTTTTTAATAAAGGGCAAGCTTCTCAGTGTGAATAAAGAAGTTACAACGAAAAACAATTTTAAAATATATGTCATCAAGAGAAACCAGAAAATTGGTTTTTAATTATTAAAAGCATTGTTTCAAATAAAATAAACGTACACATTGAACGCATCATATATGAAACATATTGGCTTTTTGAAAAATACAACCCACTCTTCTTTTCTACAAAGGACACTATTTTTATATCGATTCAACATTTTTTTTACGAACTTATAGAAATACGAAACTTCGCAGTAGGTAGCAGTGCATGCGGCATGGCGCGGATTAATTTTTATTCTCTTTCGTGTAAAGAATGTTATGATATTCACAGTGACCGCACGTATCTGTGCAATGATCTAATAAAAAAAAACCTAAATAATTCACCACAGTTGAATGAAATACTTCTTCTACTGTAGACCAACTCTTTTTTTTAACTGTGAACCTATTATTTATAACTAGACTTTTATCTGAGCCTACTGTAACTTGATTTTTGTCCGTCTTTCGTTAGTCGTCGAAATATAGCCTTTACTCAGTAAGTATAATGAGTACTGGGAAAACAGGAGAAAGGGTTAGGTGAAAAAAGGAGGCAACTCACTCCTGATCGACAGCGCTCTGTGCTTATGCAATGTGACAGGCAAAGATCATCGTGTCTGTGGGCCACGAGCAGCGCAGCAGCACCCAAACATTGATGCTCACCGCCGCCGCTTCAACTCGATGATGTCGCTGCTCCCTTCCCGCGGCAGCGGCAGCAACCAACACGCCAACACCAAGCGGTGGCGGCGGCGACCAACCCAGAATCAGAATCAACATCAGCAGCAGGGGAAGACATTGAACGACGAGTTGAACGAGCGAGCAGCAGTAGCGTTGAAGCGAAAAGCCAGCGAACAGTCAGGGTTATTACTTTCATCTACGACTTGTACCTCCGCTGTGTCGAGTTTTGTGCAGTTATTGTGCGTGCTGGTGTCGTGTCGATCTCGCGATTTCCGTCGGAGTAAGTGGAGTTGCTTGTTCGGCAGCATTCGCTTGTGTTCGCTGTGATATCAGTGATTCCTGCCGTTTATCCCGCTCATCGGTTGGAGATAAAAACTAGGCAACACCTTGCTTAGTTGGGGTGGCAGAGGTGGTGCTGCTGTCGAATCTGTCTCTGATCAATCTTCTCACTCATCTGTGAACGTGGCGCGCTCAAGTAGGTTAGTGTTGTTAGCACTGGTGTACTTAAAAGTAGTTCATGTTGAAGTTATTGTACTGAACGTATGTCGTCACTGCCGTAGCAAAAGCAGTTCTTCAATTCCTCGGTATCGTTAAGAGCAAACGCAACAAAACTCGCTGTTTGTAACATATACAGGCAGGGCCAAACAACATGATCGTTATTGGTGCAACAATAATACACCAGAGTGGCACGTCAAGGAGATTTCCCCGTGCGTGTCTATATTTCTTTGTGTGTATGTGTGTCATATGGGAGTGTAAAGGCATCTCTGCGTGCATATATAGATGCAAGATGCGTGAACGTATATCTATGACTGTATATGTATAGCTTTATGCTATTGTGTGTGTAAGCGAGTGTGTAGCGGTGATTGTCTGCTTGCCTGCGGCTTTCTGTTTGAATCTGCGGTGGATGAGCGGACGGTGTGTGCTCGTAACCGTGGTTGAGTGCTTGTTTGTTACTCTTATATTACGTATGTGTGGATGTGTGTGAGCGTGTGTTGAGCTGTGTATATGCCCTCGTTGGTGTGAGCGTGTGTCTGTATGAGTGTATACGTGTGTCTTGTGTCTGGTGTGTGAGTGTGTATCTGGTGCGTTGGGTGCAAAAGCCAGCAGACGCCTCAGTGCGTGGATGCTTACCTGCCTCGTATAGTGGTGGCCCGAAGCTCCGAGGGGCCGTCGCCGGACATAATCACAATTTTAATGATATCTAACACTTGAATACAGCTGGTGAGATTTTTCGGTAGCTGCTTGAAATGCACTAATACAGTATGATTGGTACGTGAGGGTGGGGTGGCCACAGAAGCGGGCAACACCCCTACAGAAAGCGAAATGCCGAGTAAGGCAGAATCATTATGAATGGAGCAGTTGCCGCTTGTATTTGCCGCGGTTGGCGCCGTCATCACCACCGTTGCTTCCTCCGGTCTGCTGTGCTTTTTGTGTGGCGCCACCGGAGTGCGGATGATGGCTCGTCGTTTGGTTGTGTTGACCTGATGATCCAACAACGGCCAGCCGATGGCTACAGCTTCTGGCAAGAGGCGCTACCGACGCTGCTGCACTACTATAGCAGCGGCTGCTGAAGAGCATGCCAAGTTGTACATAGGATACCGGCCGAACCCAATAACCGTAAAAGCCGTAAAATATATGCTTTCATACACGATATGTCATACATAATATGCAGAACAGTATAACAGATAACACTCATACACGGAATCGTGTTTTCCTATTCTATTATTTATATGACAAAGGTTCTTCGACTTTAGAACACTTAATTGAAGTAAATCGAGCTTTTTTTTCTTCTTCTAACATGTCGATGTCTAGTTGTATTGTCTCGTACACTTGTGAAGTAAGTCTGTATATATTTTGTTTATGATGCATTTTAGAGGTCCAATTTCTTTACAGTAAAAAAAATGGTTCGTAATGTTCGGAAGGTCGTGCAAACTAGATCCGGATCCTAATCAAAGTATACGCACCTAGTATTATACCGTAACACCGCTTGCAGTAGAAGCAGAACTGAAATTTGGCACCGTTTAGATTGTATAATTAAATGAGTTTCATGTACTCTTGTTCCTAAATTCCAAAATAAGAATGCCACTTTCCAAGCCATACGTAGCTACACTATGAAGTGTGGCTTGGAAATGCAGCTTTTTATGTGTTACTGGTGTAACAGATTTGACAGATTGTGCCAACGCGCAGTGAAAACTGGAACTTAAACGCATGCACCTACTAACGAGACGTGAAGCTGCATTTTATTTCATATAGTTAACCTATTCGAATGTGGTTCCTAGGGAAATACGAAGTTATCAAAAATGTACGTCAGTGGTATAATTATAATTTTTAAGTGAATAACTAGCAATTTTTGTTTTGCAGTCAGACGGCGAGTCATGTTTGCATTTTGGGCTAAAATATACTCATATATTAGTTGCAGTTCAGTGGCGCGCTGAATTAATGTCAATTTTCAGAAAGCTATAAGAACAGTGTTCACTTCTCCAGTACACCAGTATACTTCTCTTTCCCATCTGGCTTTCTCTAGGATGAGGCTGCTTCTATACGGCATATATTTTATTGAATAGAATATGTTCATCGTTTCAACCGCAGTACTACACAGCTTTTTGTTTACTTAAAGCGAGACCACATTTTCTAGGTTCAATTTTTGCTTTGTTGTAACCTTCAAGTTCGATCTCATAAAAAACCACCTGTTGGTTATAGACAAAGTAAGTGAGCAGAATTCCATTAAGATCGAACAAACCTATTTAGAAGTAGCAGTAACATATGTTTTTTTTTTTGGTACGCACCTCACGACGTCGCATGAAATACAAATATTCTGTAGTTCTAGTAGGCACACGAGACCGATGGAAAACGCTGCGAGCATGTTATAGTATAAAAGGAGCAGCTTGTGGTACCGTACGGTTACCACAGGGGTAATAGTTGTGTTGGCAGTACAAGTAATACGACACACAGGCAGGAAGCACTGATATGCCAGGATTACATTTTTGACAATTTTTAATAGATTTTTAGACCGCATTCGACTATACTGGTAAATTATTTCACACATTTCTTATGGTTGGGGTAAAGTTGGGGTAAAATAGAAAAACATTCAGTGAATATATTAAGCCGATTTTTCGTTTTGTAGGAATTTAGATTTCTCTTAAAGAGCTTTCTGAATACCGCCCTTGATATTATTTTTATGAGCCACTTTCTTGAGATGAGATACATGGACCTCTGACTTTAACCTCCAACAATCCACTCTATTTGAACGACAATTATAACCCTATAAAGTGTAAGGTAAATGTGCTTTTTAAAGCAATAGATTAAAAAGATAGCAGATGGATAAAACAGCCTAGTGCATTACTTCAGAAAAGTCCACGCCAAATGAAAAAATTATTTTTATTTTCACTTTTGTTGTTTTTAATACTAACGTTTGAGTTTTTTTTTTTTTTTCAAATAATATATCGCACAACTACGTTTCGGTGGAATTTGCCGCTAGTGTGCTGGAAAGGAGGATCGTTTAGGCTGAATAGGATGTAGATATGTAGGATGTAGATATGCCCCCTACCTTTCTTACCACCTGAAGAGCTGGCTTATTTACGCATTTAGTGGTAGGGCGGTGCCTTAGCTAGCCAAAAGTCTGTATCCGGACGCCAAAACCGGAGGCGCTTGTTTAAGTCCACCATATGTCAACAAAGCAAGATTATTTATTCTAGAGCTAGTTTAGGATGTCAAAGAAAGAACTCAAGTATACGCTAAACAATTCTCACGTTTTGGCTTTTATCTTCACAGGATCCTCGAGGTATCCTTGGAAGGCTAAGACTGAGCTTTTCAGCGCGTGTTGTTGGCGCACGGATTGCAATTTCAGAGCATAATAAAATTGGCAATTTGAATTTTTTACTTACTTACACAAGACTAGATAGTGTATTTAGTTGCCACTAAGAAGTCTAAATGCTCTATACGTACATATGATTTGGACAATAAGAGCAAAATTGAAAAATAAGCTTACACAAGTGAGTGAATATTTAAGGATAACAGTTTTGTTCGTCGACCATGAATAACTTTGTCGACCTTTCTATCGTGTGGTGCACGTTTATGGCACGCAGACGACCGTACAAGACATAGACTGAATGGACCAATTGTTGCTGAGCTAATAAAGAATCAAAGAAGTTGAAGATCATAGGTCAAAAAATATTTGGTTTATTTTGAAATTTCAGTGTGCATCAAATTAAAACGAATTGTTGAACGGCTTAGAACCTCACATCTAATTGTGCCCCAATAACTTCTCAGCAAGAATTCTATAAAAATATATAAGCCGAGAAGGATCGTTGATGTTTTGTATGCCGTACGTACGTTTAAAATACTAGAACAATTTGACATATGGAAAATATGTGTTTGTGTTCTTGAAGAGTGCATTGCATTAAAGTTACAATATTTAATATAGTAAAATATATCAAGTAATCTAACGAGTGATGTTAGTGAAACCATGGGCATAAATAAATGCTTGAAAGAATCAATTTTCGAGTGTAAAAATAGAATCAGTAAGTATGCCAAGTGGAAACAACCCTGCGGTTTTGGCACAAATTAATAATCACGATACAAAAGAAAATTTTTTATATTGCTGGTGATTTGTAAGATCTCTATTGCAAGAAACGTCAATAAACGTTTTCAATGTAAAATTTGTTATTTAAAATAATTTCTATTTATATGCAAAAATAGCGCTGCATATGGTGTAGTACTCTTTGATTATAATAATATACACTTTAGCTATAGCGAATAATGGTCCGGGACGAATAAAGTAGTACGGAAAGGGCTATTATCGGAACTTCAGCCATTCTCTAGTTATTAAAAATATCTTCTGTAATAATTCCAGTTATAAGGTTTTGCACAAAATCGTACAATATATATATATATATACTAAAACTAGTCTTTATGTCCTTCGTATATCAAATTTAATGGCTTGAACTTTTATAGAAATTCATTAGCAAGTTTTCAATAACGTTTAAAGGACTATTAACATATCTACATTCGAGTATGAACAGTTAAATACGGACAAAGTGAATAACATTTTACGCACAAACATAATCAAGTTTATTCGTATCCTATCAGTAAAATAATTATGAAAAAATAATAGAAAGGTTTAAAGTCCTATCGTAAGAGGTCCAATTCATCCTAGTAATAAATACGTAGGTTAAATAAATGAAACAATTTCTTGTTTATTATACGCATTGGATATATATTGTAATGACATATTTGCCATATATGATGGTTAATGGGTCAAACCCATTCACCACTGTACGTGACCCAGGACTATTGAATTTCTTACTCCTACTTCGGTTTAGAAAAGCTTAGTGGTGGGATAATGGAAAAGAGCAGCTTCCTAGTGGGAACGTTTAGACTTATTCTTGAGTTAAGGAAAGGTCAAAAAATAGTGATCTAACCTAAACCAGAAGATTTAAAAATGTGATATTATAAACTTTAGAGAGAAAGCGTGAGAATA